AGACCTCAACCAAAAGTGAGGTCAACACTCCTGCTTTAGTTGTATGTGATTATTGCTATTTCCATTCACTTAAATTTCGTTTAGCTCATAGTTGAGCTTTTAGTTTTCATTAGTAGCTAGTTATTGCTTGTTGTTGGCCTTCATTGATTCAAATTGTCATGTTTGCATCCGTTGATTTGCAAGTTGGATCCATTGTTTCAGCACTTCTATCATAATAATAATTAATGAACCACATGCCCAATGCATTACTTGATGCCACATTGTTGGCTAGTTAGTAGCAGTGCATTGTTAGTTGTTCTTCGTTAGCTGGTGGTAGTTACTGCATTTGTGCCACCTTATTGCTACATGCTAGTTTATTTCATGCATTTATACTCTGCAAGCTGCTCACTACCATTGTGTTGTACGCTATGTAACTTATCTAATATCATATCGAGCCATCCATACTACTCTTAAGTAGCCTACACACAATTTCAAAAGCTTCCATATCTACATCCTCACCTCATGTAAATATGTAAATTCATGAAAACTTATAAGGTGTACCACACCTTAATTGGGGATGATAAATAGTATTACTCACGGAACTCTTTTCCATACTCATGTACATGTGCAACTCATGTATCACAAATGATAGTTGGATTAGAATTGATATTGGAATAGCAAACAACATATAATACAGGGGAAGTATGAATAGTTAAGGTCTCGTAATTGCTATATATGTCATTCTAGGCCTGATCACACACACACAAATACTTTTAGAAATGCAGAGATCAATGGAAAATCGATATGAAGGTGCCTATTTAACGTATATATCAAATTGTTGCTCATAAGTCATAAGTTTATGGATCACAAAACACAGAAGCATAAAATATAGAAACAATTGAAGAAATTTTTAGATCCTATCTAAATCTTTTGAAGGATGGAAAATTGTAAAAGGATAATTTTATAGTGTTTTATCTATGTTAGAAAAATACCACCACTAACCAAACACTAGCACCCCTGCCCTTCCTAATCAGACAAATCATTTCGAGGAAAAGAAATATCAGATAGGTAACACTAATAGGTAACATATGAAGTATGCCAATAGATATGATAGCACATGCACACGAAAATATCAATAAATGTCAAGCCTCGCAAATAAAAAATGACTCTCATTTTTGTTTTTCAAAGGCAGATATTACAAACATTTAAGTCCAATATCCCAATTCTCAACCATCCATCCCATTAGGTTCTGCCTGCAAATTCTTTCAACAACTTCACTTAAAGACTGTCTCACATTCTTTATATTGTCATTTTATCGCTCCCACTATTCTCAATCAGCATAAAAGCTCAATCCAAAGCTACCACCCAAGCTCGCAAGCCTCCTCTTCATTCTCTACTGCTCTATGAAAATTGAACTTATTTTAGCACCGCTTTAGACCACTCCATGTTGCTCTACCCTGTTGATTTTTTTAATTATTATTATTATTTTTTTTTTTTTAAGGGACTGGGGTGTTTTATCTTCGCATAGTCTGCATTCTTGTCCATAGTTTGTAGCAGACATTTCTTACCTTCTTCCCTGTATGGCTTAATTAACCAATTCATCTGCCATTGAACAAGGTGTTACAAGTATTTACCATGTGACGTGATCTTTTTGAAACGTTGGTTAATGCCTCTCTTGCATTTTAAGAGTACTAGTTACGATTGATTGAATATGTTGGCATTTATTTTTAGTTTATTTAGTCTTTCCTACCTTTAAAAAGGACAAAACATGAACTTGCTTTTCAAGTCCTTGTTTTTTTAATGTATTTCCTCTAATTTTTGCGGACTATAATTTATCACTTCAATAATTGAATTATCCATAAAAGTTGTAAGCACCCTTTTTGTGGCATTACCATAAAACACTACCGTGAAGATTGTTATTTATGAATATACATCCATATATATAAACATATACATGAATATTAGAAAATGTAATGGAGCACCGTATCATATTTCACTATAAATGAATAGATATTATATATCAACAACAACAACAACAAAGCCTTAATCCCACTACGTGGGGTCGGTTACATGAATCCTTTTTCTCTATTGCATCCTATTTAGTGTCATATATTCATTTAGTTCTAATAAATTAAGATCATTTTTTATACAATAAGCCCAAGTCTTCCTAGGTCTACCTCTGCCTTTCTTAACATAAGTTGAATCTCAAACATCTACTCTCCTAATCGGATCATCAAATGGTCAACGTTTAATGTGTCCAAACCATCTAAGATGACTCTCTCTAATTTTGTCCATCACTGGAGCTACACCAACCTTATCACGGATATATTCATTTCTCATTTAGTCTCTAAGCATAAAGCCACTCATCCACCTAATCATTCTCATCTCGGCAACACTCATCTTAGTGTTATGCTTCTCTTTTAAAGGCCAACATTCAGCAGCATAGAGCATTGCAGGTCTCACCACCATCTTATAAAATTTTCCTTTCAGTTTAAGCAAAACTTTTCTATCACACAAAATGCCGGAAGCATTCCTCCACTTCAACTAACCAACTTGAATTCTACTATTAAACACTGTCATTGTCGGTCCCAAGCCCGGATGTGAAAACTGGAGTTGTGTCAGGTAGTCGACAGCGTAAAACTTGGCGAAAAAATCATGACATGAATCCCTTGACATTAATGGATATTATATGCCTATAAAAGAATTCCATCAAGCTACATTCAATTAAAAAAATCCTAAGTATATCATACAGCATGATTTATTCATGCTTCAAAAGTTAGGAAGCTTCACAAGTCATGCCATAATTTCTGAAATTAGCTATAAAACTTGATCTGTTCTCACAGTGAACGTAAAATTAATTTATTTTTGAGGAGAATCGGTCATCAATCACTCTAGTTAACACAAGCAATCGGTGGCTTGGAAAGTTAGAATGCTCGTCACATTGAAGCTGATTAAGGAAGCAAACGGAAGACACTAAATCAAATTGCGCTAATAATACCGAAGAAGACAAATAAGGATTCATCGACCCTATTCATTATTTTTATGAAATAGGAACAAAGATAAAGTGAAATTTTCCACTCAGCTGCGCTGCTACAAAAGTTGAGTCCGTATTCATTACCGCAATCATATATCCATATTTCCATCAACGAATACTGAAAAAACAAGAAAAAGAGAGTTCACCTTCACTGATATTAGAAGCCGCCGAGAAGACTTTTTCTGGAAAATTGGAGAGTAATGGGAGACTGTTGAGGTCGGTCTCCGCAGGAAGCATTTGATAGCGCGGCGCTCCAATTCTGAATAAATTGAAAACACAGGTTAAGGCTGAAGTCTAAAAAGAAGGAAAAGAAAAAAGAGCAAAACTGGATTACGTGTGGGGGGAGGGAACGATGGCTGAATGGAAAGATGGGAAGGTGGAATCAGTTGGGACATGGAGAGTTCCGCACAGGAAGCCCACAGGTTTCGGCTTCAGGATCTCTAGCTTGCCCACGCACTGAAGCTGCCCCTCGTTCTCCATGGATTCCTCCACAACTTTTTTCTCAATCCTTTGATCCAGGATCAGTTGTGGCCGCGAGGCGATCATACGTTCGGCGAGAGCCTCTCATTTTTCCGGAAATTAGGGTTAAATGATTTGAGAATCAAATTCATTAGAATATTGTCTTACAAAAAAATTTGTTGTTTGCTTTTTTTTTTAATTTATTTTTTCTATTTTTCTAACTATGATAAAGGCTTTCAAAAAAAAAAAAAAAAAATTCGGAATAGTCTTGCAAGCGCACTCAAACAACTCTTATAAAACTTATAAGGGCATTTGGGATCACTTTTGATTTTTTTTATATTTTTTTATTTTATTTTGTTTATTTTATTTTAATTTAAAACAAAATAAATTTGGTGTGATATAACATGTTTGGTTATTTTTAAAAACACTCAAAATAAATTTAAGATTTTTTTAGTGCTTTTAAAAACAAGTTAATTTATTTTTAAAAATACAAATTAAAAACATACAAAAAATGCACTAAATAAGTATGATTTTTAAACAAAAGCAAAAGCTAAAATAAAAACAAAAATAAAAAAGTGATCTCACACAAACCCTTAACTCTAAATCTTGTTTAATTTTGTTTGGGTCTGAACTATGAATTTATTAAATGAAAGATTTCGGCAAATTTGGGAAATTAAGTAGAAAGAAACTCTTAAAGGGGGTGGGGGAGAAAGACAACAGAAATACCAACTAGTATCGATGATGAAGTCCACATAGTGTTCCCTTTTAGCATACGTAATATAGAATATTGAATTATTTTTCATACTTCTATGTACATCCCTAATTAAATAGAAAAATTTAGAATAACCCTATCTTTAGCTATCTCATCGATAATCACATTGGGCACTAGCTTAGCAAAATTAAAATAATCCAAGGTTTTTGCTTAATATTTATGCCCAAGGTAAAGAAATTTACTAGCATACTCTCCCAATTTTCCCACTAGACTAGAGATACTTACATGGCAAGGAAGTTAAGAATCTCATCAAAATCCGGATGCACATTATAGTAGGCAATATACTCATCAATTTCTAAACTATCCAAGCTATAACTATTATTTATTGAAACTATTCCAAAGACTAGCCAGTTCCTCCCACTCAGATTTAAAAAAAAATAATAATAAAATAAAACCCTTCACCACGTAAACCACTAGTCCTTTTGGCTCCAAAGTAATTAATTAACACCCTATCTCATGAGTCATAATCTTTAACCTCTCTATAGCATTAAGAAATCTCTCCTTAGGAATAAGGTTCTTATTAACTATAGAATAACAATACCGATTTGAAGCATCACTACTAATAAATTTCCTAAACCAAAATAACCCCCAATATTATTAATGGTTTTAATTATTTTAATGTACACCAATATTTATAATTATGGAAAAATGAAAAAGTTTATATACTTTCATAGAATAAGAAAAATTAACTCTACTCTACCTTTATTTTAATTATGCTCAATCTTCAAAGGAAAATGAAATTGTTACCCAAGAGGTTTATTTATAAATTTCATTAGTGTCAGATGCAATATAAATAAGCATTACAATGCTAAGCTCTCATATCAAATTTTTTAATGCAAGCACTGCAGCACTAACCCACTATGTCTAGTTATTACACTTGGCTATCAAATTTATAATAATTGGTCAAAAGATGATATAATTTTGGCATAAAAAAAGAAAAACCATATTAAGTTTTGCATAGAAAAGTTTATCAACGTATTAAATACTCAAGCTTCATTATCTGGCCCTCAACACTTATGTGTTATGTTTAATATTTCTCCAGTCATAATCATTAACAGATTGATAGTTATTGGTCCAGCTTTGACAACTTAGTGCTCAAGCATTGCAGTGTTATTCAGAGTAGTGTTGTGTTGCTATAACTAAAAGTCAAAAAATCTTTATTCTTTTTTATTACTAAAGACAAACACATTCTTATTTCTCTTTTTTCAAAATTTTTAATAATCATAATGATTATCATCATAATGTTGACAAAAAAGCATTATATACACTAATGTTTTAGTGCTACAATAGTAACACCAAGGAGGCACATCTTATAGCACAACTTTTGTTCCAAATTTTATGAAAGATATATATAAAATCACAATTATAATTTACACAATCTACACATCGATCAAAGAAACATTGGGCACAAAATTGTTTTCTAGTTGAACCAATTAATGGACACTTTTTGTCCATTCATCTCTTAATTTTTAACCTGGATATTAATTTTCCCATGTGGATAAACATTAACTATAATGAAAGGCTCTAACATATTTACTTCAATTTATTTGAAAATAGTTTTAATCTTGAATGAAAAAAAAGCACATCTTTTCCAGTTTAAACTAACTTTTAGCAAGCATATGGTCATGTCATCTCTTAATTTGTTTTTCTATGGTATTTTGCATTTTCATAGGCTTTTAATCCATTTTGATCCAATTCATTCAACTTAAGTAACATTTTCTCTTTTAAAACTGTCAAGTTAAATTTTAACTCCTTAATCCCCTCAAATGTCTTATGTCCTAATTCTAGAGATAAATGATTACTTTTCCATACATTAATATATGTTAAAAAATTTTAATTGGACTCTTAGAAGTAATTCTATAAGATCATCGAGCATTATCTAATCTTAACAATTAATCTTTCCTAGATGGATTGACTATTTACTTTGAGATTATTTTATTTTTTCTATATAAATTTTAGCTTGCCCCTTTGTTCAGGGTGGATAATTAATACTTATCTTATGTTTAATTCCAAATTTATTAACTAATGTATCAATTTCTTCTCACAAAAATAACTTCCTTCAACACCAATTATGACTCAAGTATTATAAATTTAATCACAATCATATTTTTTAAAATTTAATCACCAATTTAAAATGGTTACTAGCTTAACTATAGGTTTAATTAATTTAGAGTTAGTATCTATTATTATAAAGATAAATTAATTCCCAAAAGAGGGAATGAATTCTCTTATAAAATTATTGCCCTAAAAATCAAGTATTTTCATCTCTAATACTTAAGTCAAATGCATTTCAAATTTTTTAGATACATTATCTTTCCTTTGAAATGTATCACTCCTCCAAACATAATCATTAATATTCTAAAACAAGTAGGTAGGTAAAATCTAATATGTAAGATTTTGGAAGTGGTTTTTAATGCACCAAAATGCCAACTATATTTATAATAATGATTTTGACTCTTTATGCTTTCTACTTTCTCTATAAGGACATATCTCCTAGTTATTTGATTGTTACATTTTCAAAAGTAAGGTTCATCCACAAAATAAAATTTAGGTTTCATGTTTTTTTTTTTTTGGTGATAAAAAAATTATGTGGAAAATTATGTGGAAGCAAGTTACTATCAATATAGTTAATAATATTAGCATACCATGATTAATGTTTGCCACTCAAAATAAATACATATTCATCATAAAATAGTTTATTAATTTTTTTTTATGGTGCTTTCATTCTTTTAAGGTTATTAAAGGATCTGCTACTTGACTTATTAAACTCTCCTTCTCATGTCTCCAAATCACATACTTATAGAAAAAGGATCCATATAATTTTCCTTGGATTTATATCCTTCTTAGCTATTTGATATTTGATTGCTACATGATCAATATAACTATGATTTTAATTCTAATAAAATATGATCTAATTTTTTTATAAGCAAACATCATTATTAGTATCTCATTTTAAATTGTTCAATTATTAATTCTAGTCTAATTCATTGTCTTATTAGAATAATAATTATCATGAACATTTATATTTTTCTTTGCCCTAACATAGGTCATATTGCATTATTAGTATCATCATACATAAGCTCAAAAGATTGATTCCAATTAGATTTTATAATAATAGGTGCAGTGATTATTATAGATTTTAAAACCATACAAGATTTCATACAACCTTGATTAAATTTAGAAAGGATTTTTTTTTTTGCAGTAACTGAGATGAAAGCTTGTTATTTTAGAGAAGTTATTGTTAAATTTGCTATAGTACTTCGCATGGCCTAAGAAAAAACATATTACGTTATATGATGTAAGAGTTGGAAGTTTTTTTATCACCCTAATTATTTCTTTATCCACTTCTATCTCTTTGACTGAAACCTTATTTATGAAAACTATGCCACTTATAACCCTAAATTAACACTTATCCAATTTATCACTACACTTGTCCCTTTGCATCTTTGTAAAATTAATGTTAATATGTTCAAGAAAACTATATACAGATCCAAATATAAAGATTTATCCATAAATTGTTCAAAACCTCATAAAATTAAATAAAAAATAGCCATCTTAAGCTTTTAAAAAATTTAAAAAAGCATTACAACGTCCAAAGGACATTTTTTCAAAGAAAATATTTCACAAGGGCTAATAAAAGTTATATTTTCTTAATCCACATGTGCTATATAAATTTGATTATATCTCAAGTAGCCATTCAAAAATAATATAGTAGGTGCCTTGATAATTTCGTTAACATTTGATTGATAAATGACAAGACAAGTGATTCTCTGTAGTGGCATTATTGTGTTTCTTATAGTTAATAAAAATTATCCACCCCATTATTATTCTAGAAGTACTCAACTAATTCTTCCTATTGATTGTCATAATCATCCCCTTTTCATATGAACACAGTAAAAATGAATTATTTAAGAACTATAAAAAATTAGGTGGATAATTCCAACATCTAACCCCTTTAAACTATCCTTCTCCATAATCTTCTTCATGATAAGATTTAGCCTTCTTCATTAATCAGAATTTGTTTACATCAATCTTCCATTAAAATTATTTGCATACCAAAGAAAGTGATAATTTATTTAATTTCTCACAAAGTTTTCCCATGACCATTAATACACTCATAAAATTTTCTACATAAAATTCATCCAATCTAAAGTAAAAATTTATGAGAAAATTTGATAAATGTCTTAATAAGGCATGCCTTAAAAAATTTGGAAACTTTTTTTAATTCCAATTCAGATGTTTCTACTAATATTTTTTT